CTTCTCAGTTCTCGGATCAAGAGTTAGCATTACCTGGGATGACTTTGTTCCGCAACGACAGAAAAATAGGAGTTGGGGGCGGAGTAGCCATATACATTAGCTCTTGCTTGGAGGTGCACCAGGTTCACAACCTCGAGTTTAACAATCTTGAGGAATCCATATGGTGCTCTGTAAGGTTGTCTAGTACTTCCAGGTGTCTAGTCGGAGTCATTTACAGGAAGCCAACTGCCGACACCGAGTACGATAGTCGTATGCTGGAAGGACTATCCCGCTCTATCCGTCTCGGTTTCACACACATCCTGATTCTAGGGGACTTTAATCTCCCTAGAGTCAACTTCGCGGAACACACGTACACTGGAGGCGACAACTCAACTGAAGCTCGGTTCTTCAACCTCATCGATAACTTGGGCTTATATGAAAATGTGAGGTCGGCAACTCGTTGGAGAAACAGTCAGACACCATCGCGCTTAGACTGTGTATTCACTAACGAAGAATTCCTAGTCGACAACCTCTCAATCCTGGCTCCTCTGGGAAAAAGCGATCATGCCGTCATAGCCTTCAGTTTTGTCATCAAAACTAAGCTAAGGTATCCCAACAATAATTTGCGATGGAATTTTAAACGGCTGAATGTGCGAGCTCTACATGACCATCTACAACAGGTGGCTTGGGATGTTCACCCTCAAATCGATGTGGATGGTCATTGGGACTTCTTGCTGCACACGCTCTTACGTGCTACAGACCATTCAGTTCCTCAAACGGTTCCCAAAAGCTTCAAGCCACCTACAGTAATCAAGAACCGTACCCTTCGCCTCCTAAGCCGCAAACGGCACTGTTGGGCGGAATACAAACGAACTAATGACGATGGAGCGTATAGGCAATACAAACATATCAGGAACACATGCACGAAGGCTATAAGAGAAGACAGGCTTCAGTACCAAACAAAGCTTATGGACAAATTCGCCTTTAACCCTAGAAGCCTATTCCGTTATGCAGCCTCTCTTCGTCAAGCCAAAACAGGAGTTTCTCAACTGCTAGGACCTAACGGCCCGACCAACAACGATGGCGACGCCGCCAACCTTCTGGCGGCCCATTACTCTCAAACATTTCAACCGGCTGATATCAACTTTATCGACGACAGTTTCATCTGCAATTCCACAGGACTTTCTGAAGTGGACCTAAGCGCTGACTTGGTGTTCCGGAAACTGCAGCACTTAAGACTTGACACTTCTCCTGGCCCGGATATGGTTCATCCTGCCATACTGAGGGAGGCAGCCTCAATCCTGGCAACGCCGCTTAGCGTGATGTTTTCACACTCGCTTAGCCGAGGCAAACTACCGGAAAATTGGAAGTTGGCTCACATCACACCAATTTTCAAAGGTGGTCGACGCAATGAACCTTCAAGTTACCGGCCGGTAGCTCTTCTGTCGTTACCTTCAAAACTCATGGAGTCCCTGATATGCGACGGTCTAAATGACTACCTACTGTCCTTAAATTTCTTCTCACCCCAACAGCATGGTTTCAGGAAGGGTTACTCTTGTATAACCAACCTGCTGACTGCGGTGGACAGATGGACAAGCATCCTCGATCGCAAGGGAAAGGTTGATGTCATTTACCTTGATTTCTCAAAAGCTTTTGATAAGGTTAACCACTTGTGTCTTATCAACAAGCTCAAACGACTAGGTATCAAACCACCTCTAATCGACTGGCTTACTTCATACCTAAAAAATCGACACTTTAAGGTTAGGGTTAATTTCACTTTATCTCAAGCTATGGAATGTCCTAGTGGGGTCCCCAAGGGCTCAGTACTAGGGCCTCTTCTCTTCTTGATCTACATAAATGATCTTCCTCAACAGGTAACGTCAGACTTACTACTTTTTGCAGACGACGTGAAACTTTGGAGAGAGATACGCAACCAAGACGATATACAGGCACTTCAAGAGGATCTGACTCGACTTCAAAGTTGGGCAGACGATAACGGACTTACCTTTAACACTTCAAAGTGTAAAGTAGTCCATCTGCGACATGTCGCAAACTACAGTTACAACTTAGGAAACTCCTCTCTAGTAGTATCCCAAGTCGAAAAAGATTTAGGAGTCCTGGTGCCCCATGACTTGAAGTCTTACGCTAACTGTGACAAAAATGCCTTCCGAGCAAACCTTGCACTGGTAACGTTGAGGCGCATTTTTGGCCAGTTTGACGGAAGAACTTTCCACACAATCTTCAATAGTTTCATCTGTCCCCATTTAGAGTACGGAAACATAGTACTCCCCCCTCACTCCAAAAGGACAAGGCCACTTTGGAGCGTATCCAACGGCGAGCCACGAAATCAGTTCGAGGACTCAAATCTAAGCCTTACGAAGAACGCCTCCGTTCACTAGAACTTTACCCACTAGAATATAGGCGTCTTAGAGGTGATTTACTAATGGCTTATAGTATTCTTAACACTTCTGGACATCCTCTTAAACACCTACTTAAGCTTAGTTCGAATAATAACCTAAGGGGTAACACCCAGAAACTGGAAACACAACATAGCAAGACGGAATGTAGACACAATTTCTACTCCTTAAGAGTTGTCAAAAGCTGGAATTCGCTGCCGGCCGAGCTAGTCCAAGCGACTTCTCAGGAGTCCTTCAAGAGGCAACTTGACCTATTCTTAAGGACCAAGGACAGCATCACATTATGATTTACCAATTTCTTTTCCTCTTTTATTGTTAACATACCTAGGTTCCTGCCTGGAGGATTTGGTGATCCCCTGCTACTATACACGGAAGCCTGTTAAGCGAAAGCTTCTTCTATTCCGTCCACAACCATTTGAACCATTTGAACCCTCGCGGCTGCAGTTCTGGAAGCATTTCGTGCTAATAGACGTCGATTGCCACCTGGAATCCACATGCACCCGGATAGGCCATATGAAGTCAGGACCAAGAACAAAGGCAAGCTGGAGCTGACCATTCCACTTGTGGACTGTCTAAACGATAAAAAAAACGTGTAAAGGACAGGGCCTACCACCTCGGCAAACCTCATATAGGTGGGCTACCTGTCCATTCACATAAGGTTCATACAGAAAAACAGGACGAAGCTCATGCGTTCCAAATTGAAAGCATAAACTGCTTATATACGAACGCCGCGAGTTTACCAAACAAACTGGATGAACTACGTGAACTTAGCAACGCTAGCAAGGCCCATCTGATAGGAATATCTGAAACCTGGATATCTTCTCAGTTCTCGGATCAAGAGTTAGCATTACCTGGGATGACTTTGTTCCGCAACGACAGAAAAATAGGAGTTGGGGGCGGAGTAGCCATATACATTAGCTCTTGCTTGGAGGTGCACCAGGTTCACAACCTCGAGTTTAACAATCTTGAGGAATCCATATGGTGCTCTGTAAGGTTGTCTAGTACTTCCAGGTGTCTAGTCGGAGTCATTTACAGGAAGCCAACTGCCGACACCGAGTACGATAGTCGTATGCTGGAAGGACTATCCCGCTCTATCCGTCTCGGTTTCACACACATCCTGATTCTAGGGGACTTTAATCTCCCTAGAGTCAACTTCGCGGAACACACGTACACTGGAGGCGACAACTCAACTGAAGCTCGGTTCTTCAACCTCATCGATAACTTGGGCTTATATGAAAATGTGAGGTCGGCAACTCGTTGGAGAAACAGTCAGACACCATCGCGCTTAGACTGTGTATTCACTAACGAAGAATTCCTAGTCGACAACCTCTCAATCCTGGCTCCTCTGGGAAAAAGCGATCATGCCGTCATAGCCTTCAGTTTTGTCATCAAAACTAAGCTAAGGTATCCCAACAATAATTTGCGTTGGAATTTTAAACGGCTGAATGTGCCAGCTCTACATGACTATCTACAACAGGTGGTTTGGGATGTTCACCCTCAACTCGATGTAGATGGTCATTGGGACTTCTTACTGCACACGCTCTTATGTGCTACAGACCATTTAGTTCCTCAAACGGTTCCCAAAAGCTTCAAGCCACCTACAGTAATCAAGAACCGTACCCTTCGCCTCCTAAGCCGCAAACGGCACTTTTGGGCGGAATACAAACGAACTAATAACGATGGAGCGTATAGGCAATACAAACATATCAGGAACACATGCACGCAGCTATAAGAGAAGACAGGCTTCAGTACCAAACAAAGCTTATGGACAAATTCGCCTTTAACCCTAGAAGCCTATTCCGTTATGCAGCCTCTCTTCGTCAAGCCAAAACAGGAGTTTCTCAACTGCTAGGACCTAACGGCCCGACCAACAACGATGGCGACGCCGCCAACCTTCTGGCGGCCCATTACTCTCAAACATTTCAACCGGCTGATATCAACTTTATCGACGACAGTTTCATCTGCAATTCCACAGGACTTTCTGAAGTGGACCTAAGCGCTGACTTGGTGTTCCGGAAACTGCAGCACTTAAGACTTGACACTTCTCCTGGCCCGGATATGGTTCATCCTGCCATACTGAGGGAGGCAGCCTCAATCCTGGCAACGCCGCTTAGCGTGATGTTTTCACACTCGCTTAGCCGAGGCAAACTACCGGAAAATTGGAAGTTGGCTCACATCACACCAATTTTCAAAGGTGGTCGACGCAATGAACCTTCAAGTTACCGGCCGGTAGCTCTTCTGTCGTTACCTTCAAAACTCATGGAGTCCCTGATATGCGACGGTCTAAATGACTACCTACTGTCCTTAAATTTCTTCTCACCCCAACAGCATGGTTTCAGGAAGGGTTACTCTTGTATAACCAACCTGCTGACTGCGGTGGACAGATGGACAAGCATCCTCGATCGCAAGGGAAAGGTTGATGTCATTTACCTTGATTTCTCAAAAGCTTTTGATAAGGTTAACCACTTGTGTCTTATCAACAAGCTCAAACGACTAGGTATCAAACCACCTCTAATCGACTGGCTTACTTCATACCTAAAAAATCGACACTTTAAGGTTAGGGTTAATTTCACTTTATCTCAAGCTATGGAATGTCCTAGTGGGGTCCCCAAGGGCTCAGTACTAGGGCCTCTTCTCTTCTTGATCTACATAAATGATCTTCCTCAACAGGTAACGTCAGACTTACTACTTTTTGCAGACGACGTGAAACTTTGGAGAGAGATACGCAACCAAGACGATATACAGGCACTTCAAGAGGATCTGACTCGACTTCAAAGTTGGGCAGACGATAACGGACTTACCTTTAACACTTCAAAGTGTAAAGTAGTCCATCTGCGACATGTCGCAAACTACAGTTACAACTTAGGAAACTCCTCTCTAGTAGTATCCCAAGTCGAAAAAGATTTAGGAGTCCTGGTGCCCCATGACTTAAAGTCTTACGCTAACTGTGACAAAAATGCCTTCCGAGCAAACCTTGCACTGGTAACGTTGAGGCGCATTTTTGGCCAGTTTGACGGAAGAACTTTCCACACAATCTTCAATAGTTTCATCCGTCCCCATTTAGAGTACGGAAACATAGTACTCCCCCCCTCACTCCAAAAGGACAAGGTCACTTTGGAGCGTATCCAACGGCGAGCCACGAAATCAGTTCGAGGACTCAAATCTAAGCCTTACGAAGAACGCCTCCGTTCACTAGACCTTTACCCACTAGAATATAGGCGTCTTAGAGGTGATTTATTAATGGCTTATAGTATTCTTAACACTTCTGGACATCCTCTTAAACACCTACTTAAGCTTAGTTCGAACAATAACCTAAGGGGTAACACCCAGAAACTGGAAACACAACATAGCAAGACGGAATGTAGACACAACTTCTACTCCTTAAGAGTTGTCAAAAGCTGGAACTCGCTGCCGGCCGAGCTAGTCCAAGCGACTTCTCAGGAGTCCTTCAAGAGGCAACTTGACCTATTCTTAAGGACCAAGGACAGCATCGCACTATGATTTACCAATTTCTTTTCCTCTTTTATTGTTAACATACCTAGGTTCCTGCCTGGAGGATTTGGTGATCCCCTGCTACTAGACACGGAAGCCTGTTAAGCGAAAGCTTCTTCTATTCCGTCCACAACCATTTGAACCATTTGAACCAATCAATGGGCGGTGCTATTAGATTGTTGCCCTACGTCTAAATCGGCACTTCCTAAGTGTCTATCTTCCTGCCGTCTAAATAAACCTATTAACTCCGTAACTATACACATGTAGATGGGATCATTATGGATAAAAAATGTTTTTGGTGTGCATTTAAGCGAGGAAGAGCTCCGAAACATTCCGCATTTAAAGGCTGAACTGCTAACGCATATCGCTCTCAGAACAGTTCAAACTTCATGTCTTTTCGGAGCTTTTGTATGTGCCCCGGTGATTACCTTGCTGTCAGGTTTGTTTCTGCTAGTTTAGAATTCATTTTCAGTTTTAGAACCTAAAACTTTAAGGTGTTTAACCAGAAGATCATTCAAATTCGCCACTTATGGGTTCTTACCCGGAATCACCATAGCCCCAATACTGATGTATGCTCGAATGAAAGATCAACCGGACGAAGCATTTTACGACAGGTGCTATCGGCTACGGAGCAACAAAAGCCAGGTACAATTAGTATGCTAATGAAGTTCATGTCCTTCGAATAGCTAACTTTATTCGTCTAAATTCCACTATCGAGTAGTCATTCATTTCTATAAGGATTCATGATCATGCCAATTCAGTAACTTCTGGTCGGTCAATCCAGCCAAAGTTACCCAATATCCCTATTTTGGGGAAGTCGCAATAGAAAACTGAGGAAATGACACAAAAACTTCAAATTTTCACAAAGTCTGGGAAAACCCTCAAATTTACCCTAAGTTTCCCAAAAATAGGGAAATTGGGTATCCCAACATAACTAAATTAGTATACCAAATTCGTTTCAAGCGGTGCATTACATATTAGAATGACTATAAGGATACATATTTCGGGTCATAAAGCCCTTACTAACTTAAAACTCAGCTTAAACATGCTACCAGTTAAGAAACTTGCCTACTTCAAGATTGAATTAGGGATTTCCGCAAATACGGTAAACAACTAGTCTGTTCCGTTAGCAATTTACAAAATTTTTGAAAACCACTCGTGAATTTGAAAATATAGGATGTACAAACAAGTATGTAAATGAAGCGTTTACCAGCTGAGTATTTTCCACTAGTATTTATAGGAAATAAATCCAAATGAGTTTTTTTATAACAATGAAAGTTAAATAAAGATCACTGACATATTTTGTCCCGAAGTTTATACACGACTTCTCAATAAGGTGGGATCGATCCAAACGAAAGAAATTCGATATCTAAAGTTGTACTTACAACTGTAGTGGTGGCTGTAAGGTGTTTCTCACGAATAGCTAGTGTCTCATTACAATAAATGTAAGGGTTCAATGGATGACATACTCCACCCCTTCGGAATTCCAACACTGGTTGTGAGATTCGAAGAACAAGACTTATTATTACGCTAGCAAGCACATAGTGGTTGTTTTAAACCTCTAGCTTTCCAGTCACACTCCCGGACCAATAAAGCTGGAAACTTATTACTTCCCTCCCAGGTTTCCAGAATCAAAGCCTGCTAACACAGTCAACACAAGAAAACCATATTTGGGAGTTAGATTTTTTCGTAAATGCAGTTGTCAGACATATAATGGATAGTAGATACAATGCTAATCAGTGAATACCTTTAAAGCATTCAGAATAACTGACGAATATCGGACGTCGACTTTATCCCATTTCGCTGAGACTGGTCGAATGTTTCCAACCTGATCTATTTGTACAGAAAACAGGATGACAAATCTATGTTATAAGAGATATAGTTGTAGCTTAATACTTTTATCTCCTTTGTAGGCCTACTTGTGTCCACACACTGTTTCGACTTTGCGTTTCGCGATGTAATCACTTGCGGTGGCCATTATCATAATGTGGTCGCGTACTCTAATAATGACTAGTAACCATCCCCTACTTTTCAAGACTAGTGTTTTTGTTTCATTTCAAAATATAAAAGAAGCATATCATTTTCAAACATCTAGTGCTATATTTTGGGAAAACTCTGGAAGAGGTGGAAACATTCACGTATCTGAGCAGCATCATAGATAAAGTTGGAGGATCTGATACCGACGTAAAGGCGAGATTCGATAAATCAAAGACAGCGTTCCTACAGTTGAAGAACATATGGGACTCGAAACAACTGTCAACCAATATCAAAGTCAGAATCTTCAATACGAACGTCGACAGTTCTACTGTACAGAGCTGAAACCTGAAGGACTAGCACAACCATCATCAAAAAGGTACAAGTATTTATAAACAGTTGTCTACGCAAGTTACTCAATATGTGTTGACCGGATACCATCAGTAACAGCCTACTATGAGAGAGAACAAACCAGCTTCCAGTTGAGGGAGAATTTAGGAAAAGACGGGGGAATTGACGACGTTGTTTACAAAGGTTTGGGAACTAGAGAGTGTACCAACGTCATGGAATGAGTCGATAGTTGTCCCTATCTTTAAAAAGGGTTCACGTCGTTCTTGTAACAACTATCGGGGGATAAGTTTACTTCCGATTGCGTCCAAGCTATTGGCTTCCGTCATTCTTCGTAGGTTGTTCAAAACCCGAGAAAGATTGACTCGCGAGGAGCAGGCTGGGTTTCGTTCTGGTCGAGGATGTATTGATCATATCTTCACCCTCCGCCAAATGTTAGAACACCGCCATACTTTTCAAAGGCCAACAATCGTAGTGTTTCTTGACATCAGGGCTGCCTTCGATTCGTTGGATAGGACTGTTCTCTGGGATTGTCTATTGAAGAAGGGTGTGCCTGAGAAGTTTATTAACATCCTAAAAGCCCTGTATAAAAACACCTCAGGCAGAGTGAGGGCATACAACCACCTCTCTCCATTGTTCCATTCGAGCAGTGGGGTTAGGCAGGGTTGCCCAATCTCACCATTCCTCTTCAACTTTGCCATCGATGACATTCTGGAAACAGCTCTGATGAATGTAAGTAATGGTGGTGTGGATCTGTTGCCTGGAGAAAGACTTCTCGACCTTGAGTATGCGGACGATATTGTCTTACTGTGCGATAATGCCCAAGGCATGCAATCCGCACTTAATCAGTTGGCAATCAATGTCCGTAGGTATGGTATGTGCTTTGCACCTTCGAAGTGCAAAGTACTTCTACAAGACTGGCAGGATTCTAATCCTGTACTCACCCTGGATGGTGAGCAGATAGACGTAGTTGAAAAGTTCGTGTATCTGGGTAGCTGCATAAGTGCTGGTGGGGGTGTGAGTGATGAGATCAATGCACGAATAGTGAAAGCCAGAGCGGCTTATGCCAATCTGGGCCACCTTTGGCGCCTTCGTGATGTCAGTCTGGCTGTAAAAGGTCGGATCTACAACGCGTCGGTGAGAGCAGTTTTGCTCTATGCTTGTGAAACCTGACCTCTCCGAGTTGAGGACGTTAGACGACTCTCTGTGTTCGATCATCGCTGTCGCCGAAGGATTGCTGACATCCAGTGGCAACACCATGTCAGTAATGCAGAGGTTCGGCATCGTGTGTTCGGGCACAGAGATGATAACTCAATTGGTGTCACCATCTTGAAACACCGACTTCGGTGGCTTGGACATGTTCTCCGAATGTCGTCCCAGAGAATTCCACGTCGTGCATTATTTGCCGACTCTGGGACTGGTTGGAAGAAGCGGAGAGGTGGTCAGTGCATGACATGGTGTCGTGGCATGAAAGAAAGCTGCAAAGGACTGGCTTGTGTTGGTCCTTCACGACTCCCTGGCTGGGGTCCGAGAGATGGTGCTACACAGTGGCTAGAGACGTTATCAGATATGGCTCAGAATAGAAGCCAGTGGCGATCCTGCTGTAACCTTCTTTTACTTTCTTCATAAAAAGTGGTTGTGTCTCCTTTACCTGAAAGATTTCTTCTGATTGTACCTCTTCGTCATTACTCTCTTTTTCGTTTGCGTTCCTTAGTTTTTTTTTCTTCTCTTCGAATTCCCATTGTTTTGTGTGGCGCATATATATTGGCGCTCTCTTGTACCAATATTTATGTGTTCAAATAAATAAATAAATAGGAAAAGACGCTGGAAGTGGATAGGACACACATTAAGAAAGTCATCAAACTGCATCATGAAGCAAGCACTAACTTGAACTCCTGAAGGGAAACGGAAAAGAGGGAGGCCAAAGAACATACTGCGCCGACACATGAATAGGATGAATAGCAACTGGAAAAGATTGTCCAGGACACAGTTGGATGGAGAATGCTAGTAAGCGGCCTATGATCCCCCATGCGGTGTAACAGGCGTAAGTAAACACCGTATTCGTCCTTTTTCTCTTATCCTAATTCAGTCCCAACTCCGCCTGGAGTCCCTCCGGGGGCTACTGCCGGTCCCAAGCCCGGATAAAGGAGGAGGGTTGGGCATGGGGTTAGCGTCCCCATCCCGTAGAAAACTAACTCGCTAAAAAAACGCTAACCAGAAAAAATTATTCAAACCTTTTAAACTCTGCCCTGGGAGTCAGAAGGTCTTCATTTAAAAGAATTATGACGCCTCATGATGAAAGCCGAATTCCTTCGGAAGTTACGAGGCCGATGCCCCTTCTGACAACCAGAGCAACCATTTATTTAGGTACATGGAATGTTCGTACAATGTGGGACACCGGAAGAGCCTTCCAAATTGCTGCAGAAATGAGAAGATACAACCTAGAGGTACTTGGGATCAGTGAAACACATTGGACACAAGTTGGACAACAACGACTAACTACAGGAGAGCTCCTGTTATACTCCGGCCATGAAGAAGAAAATGCACCACATACACAAGGAGTTGCATTGATGCTGTCCAAACAAGCGCAAAATGCACTTATAGGATGGGAATCTCATGGACCAAGGATCATCAAAGCCTCCTTCAAAACAAAGAAAGAGGGCATTTCAATGAACATCATCCAATGCTATGCGCCTACCAACGACTACAATGAAGACGCTAAAGATCAATTCTACAATAGGCTGCAGTCAATCGTCGAGAAGTGCCCAACAAAGGACCTGACCATTCTGATGGGAGATTTGAACGCCAAGGTTGGAACGGACAACACTGGATATGAAGACATCATGGGACGACACGGACTGGGAGAAAGAAGCGAAAATGGTGAGAGATTTGCAAATCTATGTGCCTTCAATAAGCTGGTCATAGGCGGCACCGTATTCCCACATAAACGCATACACAAAACCACATGGACTTCACCGGATCACTCTACACAAAACCAAATCGACCATATTTGCATCAACAAAACGTTCAGGAGGACTATAGAGGACGTGAGAACCAAGAGAGGAGCTGATATAGCATCAGATCATCACTTACTGGTCGCCAAGATGAAATTGAAACTCAAGAAGCACTGGACAACGGGGCAGACAGTATCACAAAAGTTCAATACGGCCTTTCTTCAGGATACTAACAAACTCAACAAATTCAAGATAGTCCTCAGCAACAAGTTCCAGGCCTTTCATGATCTACTCAATGGAGAAGGAACTACTGTGGAGAGCAACTGGAAGGGGATCAAAGAGGCAATCACTTCAACATGTCATGAGGTCCTGGGTCACAAGAAGCACCACCACAAGGAATGGATCACTGTTGATACACTGGATAAGATTCAAGAAAGAAGAAACAAGAAGGCAGCGATCAATACCAGCCGAACAAGAGCAGAAAAAGCTAAGGCACAAGCTGAATACACGGAAATAAACAAACAAGTGAAAAGGAGCATCAGAACCGACAAACGTAAATATGTGGAAGATTTAGCAACGACGGCGGAAAAGGCTTCAAGAGAAGGAAACATGAGACAATTGTATGACACGACAAAGAAACTCTCTGGAAATCGCCGCAAACCAGAACGACCAGTGAAAAGCAAGGAAGGCAAGGTAATCACCCACATTGAAGAGCAACAAAACAGGTGGGTAGAACACTTCAAAGAACTCTTGAATCGACCAGCGCCACTGAACCCACCCAACATCGAAGCAGCACCCACGGACCTCCCAATCAATGTTGGCTCACCAACAATTGAAGAAATCAGCATGGCCATCAGGCAAATCAAGAGTGGCAAAGCAGCAGGACCAGACAACATTCTAGCAGAGACAGTGAAAGCAGACGTAGCAGTAACTGCAAGGATACTCCACATTATCTTCAATAAGATTTGGGATGAGGAACAAGTACCAACAGACTGGAAAGAAGGACTTCTGATCAAAATACCGAAGAAAGGCGATCTCAGCAAGTGTGATAACTACAGAGGCATCACTCTTCTCTCAATACCGGGAAAAGTCTTCAACAGGGTATTGTTAAACAGGATGAAGGACTGCGTAGACGCCCAACTTCGAGACCAACAGGCAGGATTCCGTAAGGATAGATCGTGTACAGACCAAATCGCAACTCTACGGATCATTGTGGAACAATCAATTGAATGGAATTCATCACTCTACATCAACTTCATTGACTACGAAAAGGCATTTGACAGCGTGGACAGAACAACACTATGGAAACTTCTTCGACACTACGGCGTGCCTCAGAAGATAGTCAATATCATACAGAACTCATATGATGGATTACACTGCAAAATTGTGCATGGAGGACAGTTGACAAAGTCGTTCGAAGTGAAGACCGGTGTTAGGCAAGGTTGCTTACTCTCACCGTTTCTCTTTCTCCTGGTGATCGACTGGATCATGAAGACGTCAACGTCTGAAGGAAAGCGCGGGATACAATGGACATCTAAGATGCAGTTGGATGATCTAGACTTCGCAGACGATCTGGCCCTTCTATCCCACACGCAACAACAGATGCAGGAGAAGACAAACAGCGTGGCAGCAGCCTCAGAAGCAGTAGGTCTCAACATACACAAAGGGAAAAGCAGGATTCTCCGATACAACACAGCATGCACCAATCCAATCACAATTGACAGAGAAGATTTGGAAGATGTAAAAACCTTTACATATTTGGGCAGCATCATTGATGAACAGGGTGGATCTGATGCAGATGTGAAGGCGCGGATCGGCAAAGCAAGAGCAGCATATTTACAACTGAAGAACATCTGGAGCTCAAAGCAACTGTCAACCAACACCAAGGTCAGGATTTTCAATACAAATGTCAAGACAGTTCTACTGTATGGGGCAGAAACCTGGAGAACTACAAAAGCCATCATCCAGAAAATACAGGTGTTTATTAACAGTTGTCTACGCAAAATACTTCAGATCCATTGGCCGGACACTATTAGCAACAACGTACTGTGGGAGAGAACAAACCAGATCCCAGTGGAGGAAGAAATCAGGAAGAAGCGCTGGAAGTGGATAGGACACACATTGAGGAAAGCACCCAACTGCGTCACAAGACAAGCCCTCACATGGAATCCTGAAGGTCAACGGAAAAGAGGAAGACCAAAGAACACATTACGCCGAGAACTGGAGATAGACATGAGAAAAATGAACAAGAATTGGATGGAACTAGAAAAGAAGGCCCAGGACAGAGTGGGTTGGAGAATGCTGGTCAGCGGCCTATGCTCCATTGGGAGTAACAGGCGTAAGTAAGTAAGTAAGTAATTCAGTCCCATTCCGAACACCCATCTCAACTTCGCCTATCAAAGTATATCAGAATTTTTTTATCACATGACTCGGTGTTTCCTTAGGCTGTTTGGAGTTCATAAGTAGCCTCAACATAGGATGGATTAGTTCCATTCTACAAATCTCGTTCTTTATTTGTTCAGATTTATAAAGTGTACAAACCTTATAAGGAAAATACTCGCTAAAATAGGACAAAGTCTCTACAGTTTAGAGATATGATTCCTAACTCGTTAATTGCACAGCAAATTGTTTGTAGGTAAAATGTCATTATAATTAACACTTCGAGTGAATTTTTTGTTGGAGTATCAGTGAGTAGGACTTAAATAACATTTGAAATTGAATTTTTGGTTTTACCAGGAAAGAACTGACTGTGTTTCTTGTATCCCTCACTTCAAGAACAGGGGTTGTCTTATAACATATTTTCTGGGCATCCATATGAATAATAATATATATAGTTTTGTGATGTCCCAATTGGTAGAAAATCGTATTAATGACGTTCCGTGACCTTATGTAAGTCACTTCTTCAGGACAAATAATATGCGAAATGTCATTAATACAATTTCCTACTAACTGGGATATCACAAAAATATACTTATTTCTAGCTTTCAACCCAATGCTCAATTTATTTGGAACTATCAAGTCCAATCTTAACACTGATACCTACAAATCCATATAAATACTTAGCGGTTCGTGTAATTTCTTTGGTTTTATTATTTTTTTTCAATGAAGCTTCGTGTAGATCGTTTCAGTTATATCGGTTTGGGATGCGGCGGGATAGCAGGTTTTGCCAACGCAGCTGGACCAATACAAACAGCAATAATAGGAATGATGATTGGGACTGTAGCAGCTGTTTGCTGTAATAAAATTGAGAATAGCATTTCTACACAGAAATAGATATTAGATTTTCTGCTCAACCTCTGTTCATTTATTTCCGCAATAAATATATTTTCCAATAATTAAATAGTTTGTGGTAGAAGAATGTTTTTACTATTTGTTATTTAGCTATGGAAAAGTCCTAAATATTTTACCTTCTTTAGTGAAGTGTGTGTTACATAACTATTTTGACAATCTAGTACTGCATCATTTATTATTGTCGATAGTTGAACAGTTCGTAGATCTAAATGACTTTAACTGTGGTAATAAGGATGATAGTTCTCACCTTTCTTCGTATTCTGAAGCCTGTATCATCTCAGTCTGTGCCACTTTTCGGGCCGTTAATGTGAGTATAATTATACCCCTAATGTTCATAATCCGGTATCACGATTATGAATTGGTCCCGGATAATTGATATGAATACGATTCACCTTTCAATACAATTACTTTCCAATCCTTCGTATTTCAGACACTTTCGAGTCAGGCTGTAAAATCAGGAATTGGTTATGAATGTTTAGGGTATACTGCACTTCAAACACCAAAGATTGATAGGGTAAACAGACCCACATAGCCTACCATTAGAAGCATGAAGTATGTACATTTCGGAGTCCATAAATCTTTTGTTATATACTACAAGCATGCAAATTAGTTTCACCGAAAGGTATATGATTCATTTGACAAAATATAAGCACCAAACGAACAATTCACGTCTAATGTGACATTAGTTTTAGATATGGCCAACCAGCATGGGAGCTCTTGTTATTCTTATAAAGAAACTCAATTTCGACTTCATCTGAACTATAATATGGTTCAAAAAACCATCTTGCTCACCACAAAGACCATTCCATCAATTTTGTAATCCTTAAACCACCCAGCAGCAGATTTTCGCAAATGAACTTGATTGAATATGTTATCAGAGTTGTGGCTTGAAAATTGTATTTCCATAGTACCAAGTTGACTTATACTAAGTGCTCTCGTGAAACTACTTCTCATAATTTAACAATAATCCACTTCCATACCTTGATGTTCTAAGCAAGGTTATGATCGTCTGAGCTGAAGTAAAATCAAACATTTTCGTATCAATAAATCAACAGCCATACTCATAAAATAAGAATTTATATTATAAATAGCATATTATGTTCGATCTGTTCACCAATTGGCAGATAGTAATAAATATTCAAAATTATCTTTCAAGCATTTACCAAAAGTTGATCATAAAAGGAAAATAAAGCAAAGTGGGTCCCATTCAAAAATAACTGTAAAGTGGAAAATAATTGAGAAAATATTTTCATATTCGCCTTCACTTCCATTTGTACTAAAAGGAAAATTGTTTCCAAAAATCAATTTTTACAAGAGAGATGCATCTTATCAAAAAGAATACGATTTCTATAAGAAAAGTCAAAAGAAATATTTCAACTTCGTCGGAAAGACTTTGATGTTCCAAATGTCCATGATTCAATACTTGGCAAGCCGTTAGGGTGTGTGAAGTCATCTGTACGTAAGACTGAGTCTTTAGGCGATAGTTTCGTTTGTGGGCAGTTGTTAATACTTGCAGACTGTAAAATTAATGGGGAGTTTTCAGTCGGTAGATTCGAAGAGTGTATAGTCTGTAAGAAGTCGTTATTACTATCACAAGAAAATAAAGTGATCTGTTCAAGTTCGTCAAGTGAAGTTCCTGACTTGCATGTTTCAATATCATTAAAACTGAGTGTTGTATCGACATTTTCGTCTTCATACTTTGACTTGAGGTTCTCCACGAATAGGGACGTGTTTATATGACGACTGGATAACACACCGAGAAATTTCTCATCAATACCATATAAATCAGTAGTAGCAGACTTTTCATCACTAACATCTTGTTTATAATTTAACACCTGACTGTCCTTTCTAACATATTTTGTACTTAGTCTTTCTCTTGGATAACTTATATTATGGTTACAGGTGCTCGGCAAGTTGTTATATTGAGATTCAATATTTCCTAGTTTGATTTCCGACAAAGGATTAGAATTTACTTTATCATGATTAAATCCAATTTTAGATGAAGTCGGAGGTAAGTATGACGTAGTGCTGTCAGTTGTTTGTGTAATGAATGGCTGAAAACTTAAATTATTCATATTAGTATCCAGCAGCATGCCATTTAACATTGAGGAATTAGTTTTAATTGGGATTACTGTAGATTGCCGAATAAAAGTCGCTTTGGGAGGTTCACACAGGAAAGTACGATATATCATTGGTTGTTCATTTACAAGTTGTTGAACAGTTGGTGACTGTATATTCAAAATTCGGATTTCCTTGATTTGATTTCCCTGGTTTAGTGACGATGGTGATATCAGAGATTCAGTTATTCCGTCAGTAGTTTGACATGGTATAATTTTATGCAATTGATAAGTTACATGTTCGATGTCCCCACTATCAGTAACTAATAATGTCATTGTTTCGTCGACTTCTTTATTTTCTTTAGAAATATAGTTGTCATTTATGGCAGGTGATATGAACACTCTTTTGTCATATGGATTGTTAACACGTATTGCATGGGAATAATTATAATCTACTTTTACTGGTTGGTATAATTCCATGTTCAATTTATTATTTACCTGTGGATTTGGTTGTAAGTAATTTCTGCAGCAATTGATAGAGCTAACAACAGATGTTCGGTTTTGTTCAATTATCATTGGCGTTTGGTTTTGAGCATGATTTTCATCAGAATTTTGATTGTTCAAGCGAGTGGAAAAATTTTGATCAACGGGAAATGCAACATTTTCATGGTTCATTTTACAATCATTGTTGTTATTAGGCGTAATCGATTTCGATGTAATTTGTACGACGATTTCTGACTTGGGAATACATTCATCAGCTTCAATTTTGTTGTCATCGCTATTTACATTACGTGCACGTTTTTTAGGTTTATACTTATAGTCAGGAAATTCTATGGCATGTAACTGTTGCAAGCGAAAAGCTTCATCTATGTATTTACCACGCATTTTCAAATCTAGTTTTCTCCATAGTTGTCCCACTCGTTGACTTATGTGTACATTAGGTGCATCGGGGAACCAGTGCAGTATGATTCTTCGAAGGTATTGGGCGAAAATCTGTAGTGATTCATGAAAAAGACAAATATTCGTAAAAATTCGCGAGTGAAATTTCGAAAAGATATACATAATGAGATACACCAGTAACTGTTACTGATGTTTAAACGATCTACAATAAGTTCATTTTCACATCGTCTATTCAACTAATAATTTGAAGCTGACACTAATAAAAAAATGGCTGAACGTAGTTCTCATAACCTAAACAAGCTTATAATCTTAGTTGTGCAGATTCATCTCACTCTATCCAGTTACAACTTGATATGCAACATCGTTCGAGTCAGGATGAAAAAACCAGTTGCTAGAATTTGAATGGTCGATAAAACACACTTCTGGTTGAAATCCATATGATATATATCAGTTATTGAAGAATTGAAATATCAATCCTAATAAAATAACACAAGTTAGTAGGTTTGCTCTTTTACATTTTTATACAACTTGGATCAACTCGTATCCACCATTTCTTCTCAACACTAAATGTTCTAAACCTAGTCTAATTTTCACTTCATTAGTGAGCTTGTTGTGGTGTATTTCTTAAACATTTAGGGATCTGAAACGATATGTAAGGATGTAAATTTAATATTGCTTAGTTATTTGATTTTGATTTACATGAAATAGGGTTTAGTGACATTAAACAATGAAGTACTGTGAGGCAGTGCTTTTCCATGTTGGCTTGTTCATCTATCCGTAAACTACCTGTGGCCGGTTAACAATAATGACAATTAGCAATATTTATCTGATCAAATAATGAACAAAAGTGGTTCATCCAAATTCCAAAGAGGTTCAGAATGATAGCTAGTCGTTGTTTCCGAAAGCTGATCAAAGAACCAAATATTTTAATTTAGAAAAACATGGCTACTTATATCATTGCAGTCCTAAACACCAGTGGGAAAATTCAAACAATCAATACAAAAATGAATTAAACTTCATACCACTGCACAAGCTAGGACGAAATGCGTATCCTGGATTCCACTACTAGCAACTGTTTATCACTGCTTATAACGCTTGTGACTGGAAGTAATCAGAATAGGATGCACATGTACTCACTGCCTTACATGCTGTTAGTTTTGTTATCGTGCTGCTGTGGAATGTGACGATTTGTGATTGGATGACTTACACCTGAATGCTGTCATGAAACACTAAAACAGAAAGTCTGTCTACGGTAACCATGACAATGCGTCAGCCTAAAATTACTTGCCCTCAAATGTCCTGGTACGGCCGAAAGTAGGGAGAGTCCACTCTCCCTCTCGAAATGCTCTCACATGGCCACGCGTATATAGCCTCTGTTAGGGAAGTCCTACGCACTGCCTACTCGTGGCGGGAGTGTTGTTTACGAAATTGAGAAGACGAAAAGCGAAAGTCCGGAGCCTTAACCGAGTTGGTGGACATGGAGAGTCCACCTGGGGGAGTGGGAAAACCCTAGTGTACATGGGCTCCAGTATCCTAAGGGAACAAATGGCATATGAACCAATTATTGGTCACCAGCCACCGTTGGACTGCATCTCCTTACGTTGCTCCACTGCCTTGTGGATCAGACCTTCAGGTCGAAGGCTCCGACGTGACCCCCTAAGAAAACCCCCTGCTTCGGTTTGAGCACCCGGGCAGTATTACAGCCCTCACACATATCAAATGAGATCTGTGTGGCGCGTATGTATTTGTTGCCTCCTTGTACCAATATATATATATATATATATATATATATATATATATATATATATATATATATATATATTAAAATAAAATAAGAATTTCAATAAAATAATTATGACTAACAGTCACATCATGAAAGAGTGAAGTCAAAACATCCATGTAAAGTTTAAGTGATTTATTCGATAAATGATTATTCGTCTGAAAAGCGCATCTAGAAATGATGCTTACTGCCAAAGTTACCCAGTGTCTTCTGAATAATAACAACACCTTCCTGTTTAACGAATAAAAAAGGACTCGCAAGATAATCGATGAGTTAATTTTTTTGTTAATACACACTACGAAATTCAAACTTTTTTCTATAAATGAACTAAAAATTTCGAATAACTAAGCAGGAAGATAAGTTTAACTATCTAAGATAGTTCACAATGGAGTTTTTCCATGTTCATCGAGCAATGAATGGGTTTAGGAGGAATTCGTTTTTCTATTTGTTGTTTGAATTGTAGCGGTATATAAATCCCAAAAATAAATAGCTGCTGAGCATATTAATCTCAATGGACTCACCTAGCTGAAGGCGCTAGGTCATGCATCTGCACCAGATCACGAGTGGGAACGCCGTGTTCAACAAATCCTGTAATCCCAAAAAGGAACAGACTCACAGTTCGCAATTTGGTGGACCAGATCACATCGGGCTCACCAACGAAGATGCCACAGGTATTCGGAGTTTGACAACGCTTTAACCAGTAACACCTAATATGAATCGTACCCACCAAGTGAAATCAAAAGACAGAAGCGAGAAGATTCGAAGATATATTTGATGGGCTATCAATATATCGAGGATCGCCTGATCTAATCTGGTTAGCGATTACATGGGTTGTTGAACACGGCGTTCCCACTCGTGATCTGGTGCGGATGCATGACCGAGCGCTTTCAGCTAGGTGAGTCCATTGAAACTAATATGGTCAGCATCTAATGTCGAAGACCTACAAACCTATTTATTTTGGGGATTTATTTACCGCTATAGAATCTTCACATCGACGTTCAGGAGTGTAATTGACCGGTCTCTTATTGGAACATGTGCATTCTCTCTGGATTGCCTGATATCGCAAGCTTTATAAGCAGAGTGATAATGGTGGTTTATAGTGAAATCCATGATGCGGGTTTCGTCGGTGGGAAGATTTAAATAACCAATACGAAAAAGAATTAAACTTCATTCCTTATCACAAGCTAGTGGCGACCTGGGCTCAGTTTCTAAGGTGGTAACGCGGTGGCGTTTCAAGCCAATGGTATTGAGCTCAAGCCAACGAGTGAACAACTCTGGGATGCAAGTACGTCCAACTGATGAGTCCAAAATGGGACGAAACGCGCATTCTGCATTCCAATGCTAATCACCATCCATCTCTGCTTATAATTTAGGATAAAATCATAAACATAATTTTCAAATGATTTATATACCTTCGTACAGATAACAATCTTTCTTTTGGATCGATCTCTACCTAAACGCTTGAAAATGTGTCAACAAATATCGAACTTAAAATAACTTTTATCATCTTACGATACCAATATTATGTACTGTAGACCTATCAATATACAAAGGTAAGGTTGATACATACCTTTTAGCTCAATAGATGGACAAAATAATGATGATTAAAATATAGACTTAATAAAAGTGGACGTAGAGAGATAAACGCAAGACATCTTATACAACCCACTGAAAGATTATGATTCATATAGTAGAAAAATAATCAAAAAATCTACAATCCTATTAATTATGATAAAACGTTCATATGTTAATTATACCCTGTAAATAAAACTTACAAGTGAGAAATTTAATAAGTAACATTAGCTAAAAAGCCAAACATAACAGGAATATGATACGAAGTATAACCTCAGAGAATTGTTACCATCATCAAATTTATTTAAATGAAATAACAAATGAAAGGCCCACTATAAACCTATAAATTCTATGCTATAACACTACAGGCAATAATAAAGAATCGACACGAGAAAACAAATAACAGCGATTGTAACAACTAATATCAGCCAACTATAGTGTGAAAAAAAATAACGCAGTTTTTACAAATGACAATTACAAAACAAATGTACTATTACAGGAGTGGGAAAAAAACAACTTAGTTTGCACATGTATCACAGTAACAGGTTCGGGCAAACAAGTCTCAATTAACATAAACATTATCAACAATGAAATAATCTTTTAGCCTGACTCCTATGTTAAATACCGTATATAATTGACTCGAGTGAGATACTAGTATTTGATATACAGAAGTGATTCAATGGATCACCAAAGATGAATGAATGTACTAAGTGTTCCCTTTCATCATTATTTATGCTACCTTTAAATACGTGAAATCCTGAAAATAATTTTTTTCAATTGGGAGTTAGGGGAATAGAAGCTGAGATAAATAATCCTGCTATAGAATAATAGCACGACTTTCTAGCCATTACTCGTCAAGCTGGAATTTTGCTCCATATCATTTAATATAGGCAGTCAATAAGTATGACTAGCCCTTGAAATACTATATGACCAAAAGTTGAGTACATGAAACTACTTGATTGCAATGTTATATAAATCGTATTTGCTTAAGAATCAATAAAGGAATAAAGTAAATAAATATGGTTGAAATATAAAAACCACCAGGAAAACTGTTTGACAACAAAGGCCTACCATAAAACTATTTAGCGGTCGAGGAATTGCAGATGCTTTACGTTTTTTGTTAGAGCCAACAACTGCGGTATAAGGATATTTTTTTTCTTTTTCACTAAGACGATCAGCACGTGAACTTGGCCAATGAACTGGTATAGGATGTAATTCACCTAAATGATCCATCCAAGAATCTAATGATTGAGATCGTAAATCAGAACATTGATCACACATTGTGAAGTCAAAAATCCCATTCGAAAATATGTTTGGACTGGGTACAATGGATGATGAGTCCGATAAAATGCATTCATTATCAGTCGATTTGTGTCGACGAACAGAACAAACATCATATGAGTTATTATCCAAGGAATGAGTTCCAAGTTTTCCGCAAGGGCTACTTGACTGGGATCGTGTTGGGTGTTTATGGATTATTACTGACTTTATGGGTGAAGCTGACGCAGAACAGCTCATGTGCAAACGTTTGGCACTTGGAGTTAGTCCACTTGTACGACTTGAATATTTATTTTCTTTTGCCATCATAGAAGTTGGGTGTGGATCACTGGTAAATGAAGACTGGTTCTTCAATTTTTTTGTTCGTTTATATTTACCTCTAGTTGATGTAGTTGGTGATAGAGAGAGGAAGTTATGAACACTTGGTGAAACATTAAAATCCAACTTTTCAGATTTTTCTACTGTCAAAGAGATGTCTTGCGTTCTTCCAAACTTCAGTAAAGCCATGACATAATTCAAATAATAGGTGATTCAGTTGATCGAATGATATCTTGCACAGTACTAAATT